TAAAAACACAAAAATCAAGAAATATTTATTTCGTGGTGTAAGAAAATCAGACGTTGGAAAATCCCAAGTCAAGTCATTCAAAATCTTTGAAAATGTACTCTCAAATATACATCAAGATTTTTCCACTCAAATATTGATATTGTGTGATATTATTTAAATAATATATTTAATTAAAAATTTTGTAGTTTATAATAAATGAGTTATTTTTTATTGAAAATTTTGAAAATAAGTGCTATTTTTACAAAATAGTTACAAATTCATAAATAAATAAAAAAACTTACACTAATTATCAAAATTGATAAATTTTTCCACCTAATTGCAATTTCTTTTGAAAACTTGCATTGAAGTACGATTTTTCCTTTTTATTTTTTAGTTACTTGACAAAATTTTAGTTTATTTTTTTTTTATCAGTAAAATAAGACCTTTATTGATGAAAAAAAGCATAATACATGTAAAAATACATCAACAAGGCCGGGAAATGCAAGAGCATTGGTGAGAGACCAATCCAAAACAAAAGTACCCACAGAAAAAATACAGGACAACTACCATAGAAACCTTTGTTTGATCACCAAAGAAACCTCTGTTGCATTGAGATTTCATCAGCAAATCAACAAATTATCTCCCCTCGGAACCTGTCCAAAACATCCCATAGAACTGCAGCAGTACACCTCTAAATAGCTCTGAAGCAATACACCTCTAAAGCAAACAGCTCTGCTTTCTTTCTTTTTTTCAGAGCTGTTTAGAGGTGTATTGTTGCTATTGCATCATACACAGCAAACACATGAAGCGATCTCCTTGACACAGCAGACACTGCAAACACAGCATACATGAAGAGACCTCCTTGACACATCATACACAGCAAACACAAAATACACAGCATACCTCAAACTCCTTGACACAGAACCTTTATAAGGGGAAAAACGATTTGCAAAAAAGAGGAATAACAGATCACCACCCACTACAACAGAAAGCACTTTTGACGACCAAAACTGCATTTTTCGTTGCTGAAAGTAGTAGAATTGGCGACTAAAATGGAATTAGTCGCCAAAATTGATCACTTTTGCCGACTAAAAGAATTTAGTCACCAAATATAAGGGTATTAGCGACTAAAAGGCAGTTTAGTCGCCGAATGTAGGGGTTTTAGCTACTAAAGGTTGTTTAGTAGCCAAAAGTGATGGTTTTGGCGACTAAACGGCAGTTTGGTCGCCGATTATAGGTGTTTTGCCGACTAAAAACAGTTTAGTCGCTGAAAGTGAAGCTTTTTGGCTACAAAAAAAAATTAGTAGCTAAAGGTCAAGAATTGCCGACTAAAAACTGAATTTTAGTCGTCAAAACCTCTACTTTGGGCGGGATTTAATTCTTTTAGCGACAGAAAATAAATTAGTAGCCAAAAAATGGAGAATTGGCGACTAAAATTCAGATTTAGTCGCCAAAAGTGCTATCCTATTTTTTTTAGTAAATAATTTATTTTTTACATAAAATATATTAAATAAAAATAATTATTTTTATATATATAATTTTGTATTAATACCAGGCAATATAGTATATAAATAATAAATGTTGCATTATTATTTATGTGATGTTGTAGTGGTGTAGTGGGGAGAAAGTGTTGGTAAAGGTTGGCAATGTGGGGACGTTGCGGGTTCGAAACTTGGGACTAGCAGAGGTAATTTTTTTTCCTGAAAAATGGTTTTGGGGACTAAAGTCTGTGGTCGCTGAAAATATACTTTTTGGCGACGAAAATTTAGTCGGCAAATGTTTAAATAATAAAAAAAATCAGTATTGGCGACTAAAAGTTTAGTCGCGAAATGTATAATTTCCAAAAATGGGATTGCATTTGGCGACAAATTCTTTCGTCGTTGAAGACCTGTATATTGCCGACTAACAGTTTTTTAGTCGCCAAAGGTATTCGCAACCATGTATTCGCGACAAAACCGACGACTAAAAGTTTTTGTTGGGAAAAGTGAAAATTTGAAATTTGACAACTAAAAAAAGACTTTTGGCCGACTAAAAATTTAGTCGCCAAAGGTGTTTTTTCTTGTAGGAACCCCCCATCCATCAGCATACCACAGCACTAGATAACAGATAACCGATCCCCACCTCCCTTCCATCTGCAGAACTTGCAGAAAAGAGGAATAACAGATCACCACACCCCCATCCATCAGCAGAACACAGCAGGCATGTGAGACAAAATTTAGTTAATAAGAAATATTTTTACACAAAAACCTTTGTTTGATCACCAAAGAAACCTCTGTTGCATTGAGATTTCATCAGCAAATCAACAAATTATCTCCCCTTGGAACCTGTCCAAAACATCCCATAGAACTGCAGCAGTACACCTCTAAATAGCTCTGAAGCAATACACCTCTAAAGCAAACAGCTCTGCTTTCTTTCTTTTTTTCAGAGCTGTTTAGAGGTGTATTGTTGCTATTGCATCATACACAGCAAACACATGAAGCGATCTCCTTGACACAGCAGACACTGCAAACACAGCATACATGAAGAGACCTCCTTGACACATCATACACAGCAAACACAGCAAACACAAAATACACAGCATACCTCAAACTCCTTGACACAGAACCTTTATAAGGGGAAAAACAGATTACCACCCCCCATCCATCTACAGAATTTGCAAAAAAGAGGAATAACAGATCACCACCCACTACAACAAAAAGCACTTTTGGCGACCAAAACTGCATTTTTTGTCGCTGAAAGTAGTAGAATTGGCGACTAAAATGGAATTAATCGCCAAAATTGATCACTTTTGCCGACTAAAAGAGTTTAGTCGCCAAATATAAGGGTATTAGCGACTAAAAGGCAGTTTAGTCGCCGAATGTAGGGGTTTTAGCGACTAAAGGTTGTTTAGTAGCCAAAAGTCACGGTTTTTGGCGACTAAAAATGATTTAGTAGCCAAAAGTGATGGTTTTGGCGACTAAATCGCCGATTATAGGTGTTTTGCCAACTAAAAGCAGTTTAGTTGCTGAAAGTGAAGCTTTTTGGCTACAAAAAAAAAATTAGTAGCTAAAGGTCAAGAATTGCCGACTAAAATGCAGTTTAGTTGCCCAAAGTAGAGGTTTTGGCGACTAAAATTCAGTTCAGTCGCCAAAAGTGCTATCCTTAGGCGGGATTTAATTCTTTTAGCGACAGAAAACAAATTAGTAGCCAAAAAATGGAGAATTGGCGACTAAAATCTAGATTTAGTCGCCAAAAGTGCTATCCTATTTTTTTAATAAATAATTTATTTTTTACATAAAATATATTAAATAAAAATAATTATTTTTATATATATAATTTTGTATTAATACCAGGCAATGTAGTATATAAATAATAAATGTTGCACTATTATTCATGTGATGTTGTAGTGGCGTAATGGGGAGAAAGTGTTGGTAAAGGTTGACAATGTTGGGACTAGCAGAGGTAATTTTTTTTTTCTGAAAAATGGTTTTGGCAACTAAAGTCTGTGGTCGCTGAAAGTATACTTTTTGACGATGAAAATTTAGTCGGCAAATGATTAAATAATAAAAAAAAATCAGTATTGGCGACTAAAAGTTTAGTTGCGAAATGTATAATTTCCAAAAATGGAATTGCATTTGGCGACAAATTCTTTCGTCGCTGAAGACCTGTATATTGCCGACTAACAGTTTTTTAGTCGCCAAAGGTATTCGCGACCATGTATTCGCGACAAAACCGGCGACTAAAAGTTTTTGTTGGGGAAAGTGAAAATTTGACATTTGGCGACTAACTTTTGGTGACTAAAAATTTAATCGTCAAAGGTATTTTTTCTTGTAGCGACCCCACATCCATCAGCATACCACAGCACTACATAATAGATAACCGATCCCCACCTCCCTTCCATCTGCAGAACTTGCAGAAAAGAGGAATAACAGATCACCACACTCCCATCCATCAGCAGAACACAGCAGGCATGTGAGACAAAATTTAGTTAATAAGAAATATTTTTACACAAATTTTTTGTGTAGAAAAGCTCTCACATGACATGTGAGAGCTTTTTGTGGTATAAGTCTCACCTCCATGTTAAGGCTTTTATGTTTTTTGTACATCAAAATTCTGTGCATGTGGCATTGTTATTAGTCAGTATGTCATATTCATAAAATTTTATAGTATATGATTGGTTTGGAGCATCATGTAAACATATCAGATTATTAGAGACTAAATTTTTTCTTTGAAAAAATAAAAAAATTTGTTACAAAAAAAATTTGGGGATCAAATAATATTGTCATAATGATAGTCGCTAAAAGATCATCTTGAAAAGTTTAAAAAAAAAATAACAACAAAATTTTGAAAATTTCTCTAATAAAAGAAAACTAATTTGGTGCCCAAACGTTTATTTTTTCAGATAATTTTTGTCTAAAAAATATAGTAATTTATCACTAACTATTCAATTTTGTGGCTAAAAATAATGACACTTTTGACAATTAAAATATTTTTCTTTTAAAAAATAATTTTATTTTTAAAATTTTCCTCTAAAATCTTGGTTTATTGTGATGTAAGCAACGACCAGAAATTCTAAAGATCTATATTTTAAATTTCATAATTCAACCACCCTGACATGACTAACAAAACAAAAGAATTGCCTTACCTGATTAAATTTGTCACATAATAAAAATTAACACATCAGCTATTATGTCATTATAGGTGATACAATTATAAAATTTAAACTGAGTTGCTCTTAGTATATTACTGAATAATTGCTTTGTTCCACGCAACTTTTCATTGTTTTGTTGCACGCAACTTTTCAATATACATATATCTCTATATAAAGACACAACACAACCCTGCAGGTCCACCACCATCATCAAACCAACTTCTCATAATTACTGAAAAATTGTTTTGTTTCACGCAACTTTTCATTGTTTTGTTCCACGCAACTTTTCAATATACATTCTCTATATAAAGACACACACACCACAACCCTGCAGCTCCACCAACATCATCAAACCAACTTCTCCTACCCTCTCTCTCTCTCTCTCTCTCTCATGGCTGATATAGTTTTTTTTATTGTAAGTTGTTTAACGTTCATTATAGGGAAGTTAAGTCCTAGTACTAGTATTTCACTCCCACGAGAACTCCTAACCCTATATATCTGCAATAAGCTTCGTTTAGACAACAATGCAATTGAATTAGCCCCTAGAGACTATGGTAAGCTAGTTCAAGAAACTCCACTTGGAGTTCTGTACCCGTCATTAGTTGATGATATCGCCATGCAGATAAAATTTTCATATGATTCTCCAAACCCTTTTAGCATAGCGGCTAGGGGTCGAAGCCACTCAATCCGAGGCCAGGCCATGGCACACAATGGGGTAGTGGTGCAAATGACTTCTTTGAAACATTGTAGTTATGATAGTGGTATTAGGGTTTTTAGGAACCCTAGTTCATTATTAGGGTTTTATGCAGATGTTGGTGGTGGTGAACTTTGGATTGATGTTTTGCTAGCCACACTTGAGCATGGGCGTGCACCAGTTTCATGGACTGACTATCTTCACCTAACTGTTGGTGGAACTCTCTCTAATGCTGGTATTAGTGGTCAGGCATTTGTTTATGGTCCCCAAATCAGTAATGTTCATGAAATGGATGTTATTACTGGTATACACATTCATTCTCTCTCTCTCTCTCTCTAGACACACATATTTTTAATAATAATAAAGGGATACATATTGGTATTAATACAATAGTATATTACCTGATATTAAACTCTGTCAATTGATATATCAGTGAACATAAAAATAGAAGAGAAAAAAACTAAGTACTCATAAACTTTGTAAAGAATGTTACTTTGGAACATAAATTGTGGTTTTTTTTTTTTTTCAGCAAAGAAAAATTTCATTAATAACATGAAATTAAAGGTACATGACGATGACATGCATCGAGAGAGATTCGGAAAGTACAAATTATCCCTACTACTGCTACTCACATCCATACAACCAACCCTTTGACTTTACGATTTTTTTTAAACAAAAAAGTTAAGAAAGACTCAACTAGAAAATAAAATACATGAATTCCCACAAAATCAACCCACACAACCCAAAACCAAAAACCAACACCAAAACACCCAAACTGCTCCTGCATTCTTCTTTTCAACAAACTAAAATTTTCTTTTTCAACACCCAAGCAGCTGCACTCCTCTTATCAACAAACCACACACTACTATTCAACTTGAATTTTTATTCACCCATGCTGCTGCACTCCCAATGCCCACACCACCCAAACTAAAATCTTATCAACAGCCCACCAAAGCCGAGACCCACGCCTGACAACACTCTACCATAGCATCAAAAGCATTCCGCATGCTCTGTCGATCCGACCGAGACTGTTCCATGGCCGGAAAACTCCATAGCCAACAGCTCCATGGTTGGAAAAAACTCCACACCCAGCTCCACTTCCATGGTCGGAACACTTCCTTTCTGATTCAAAACTCCGAGCACTCATTGCAACCGAACACACCCAAGGACGATCAAAACTCACGACCACAGCCGAACAAGACTCACTGCCATCTCCACTTCCATGGTCGGACACAACTTTTCCCATCCAAACTCTGAACACACCCACTGTAGAAGCTCCGATGTTAACAACCGAAAACATCAAACAACCGTCGAGACACCTTTATACATCTGGATGAAGTTCACCCCTCAAACTCCCACTCGAAAAGGAACGCTCGAATGAAATCTTAGATAGATCTGGATCGACTTCAACACCCATGTTTCCCCCCAAACACAGCACCAAAGCAACTCCATAGATCCGAACCAGAGCTCATCCCTCAAATTCCCACTCGCAAAGGAGCGCCCGAATGAAGATCAAAACTACATCTGAACATCCTCTATTCCAGTCCAAAACCGACCTCCTTCTACTCTGTTTTGACCCTTATTCCAAGCACCCCCTGTTGAAACAAAACATACAACCCCAATGCATCAACCAAAAACGGACGACAAACACCAAAAAGTTTAAGATTAGCAGCACACAAAACACAATTAAGTGGGAAGACATTGTGGGAATCAAGTTTATTAAAAGTAAAAACCAGCACACAAACACAAAAGAGAGCTAAGCCAGCCGACCGCCATAGCCAAAGGCGGCGGTCGATCGGTCGGCCAAAAGTGAGGCCCGGGGGTGGAAGTTAGCAAAAGGAGGGAGTGAACTTAGCAAAAGGAGGTTGAGTTTGGTTAGTGTATGTGAAATTCGTGTATAGAAAGAATTTGAACTTGATCTTGATAGTTTTGAGTAAAATTCTGGATCCGTAATATTGCTCTATCAGAAATTCAAAATTCATATACCTTTTTTTGATAACTTATTATTTAGCCCAAAAGACCGATTAATCCGGAAGGCTAATTCCACCGTTCACTAACAGGGGCTCAATTAAAGTCGCGGCTCAATTAAAATTTGAGTTCAGTTAAACTCCGTATAAATTGGTCCCAAGAAATTATTTGTCCCTAAAAAAATTCGAACCTAAAATCATGAAAGGAAGAAGGTTTCAATATTTAAAGTCCTGCTCTCTAGGTTATTTTTTCTCTTGAATATATGTACAATTTGGTAGTTGTAATAAAATGATACAATCATGCACTTTAGTCACTTTCAAAAGATATGAGGATAAGAGTTCACATGGTCATGATCTAGATAGTACCATGAAAATTGATTCTTTATATATGCAAAGATGATCATTATATATTCATAGCTTAAGAGTAGTTCCTAAAAACAGGACCATGTTTTAGCTTGTACAATATGATGTCCAGATATATAATAATGAAATTGTGGTATTTGAAACAGGATTCACTATAATAATATGACAAATATCACATTTCAATATGTAAAAATAAATTGTAAATTTTTTTAGCTTGTACATATAGCATTATTGTATGTAGGTTAAGCTAGTTTGCATGCATGAAATTATTAGGGTTTACCATCTATAAAGATTGTCTTTTTTGTTTGGTTCAGGGAAAGGAGAGCCTGTCACTTGTTCCAAACACATCAACTCGGAATTGTTCTATGCAGTTCTAGGAGGTCTAGGCCAATTTGGGATCATAACCAGAGCAAGAGTTGCCTTAGGGAAGGCTCCGAACAGGGTATGTATGACTCACCAATGGCCTGAAATATTTGGTGAGGACAACTTTTTTTTTTTTTTGGATAAGCGAAAGTTAGTTGTTATTGTTAGATTAGCCATGGGGGTTAATCTTTCCATCCTTATAAAGCACTAAGTGCTTACTTTCTAATTCAACTCTCCGTCAAGGAGAGTTAAACTCATGACCTCCCGTTGGAACTAAGCCCTTATGGGAGTCATGATCGCCAACTAAGTTAGGCCTAGTTGATTGGTGAAGACAACTTGATTGATATCACTATAACATATTAAGGTTTTATGGATAAAAAAATTGTGTTCCTAAAAGTGAAAATGTCTAATTCCGTCACTAAAAATTATAGTAATTTATGGTAATTTTGACAACTAAAATATTTCAACTCTAAAAAGTGATTTTATTCTTAAATTTTTATCTCTAAAACTTTATTTGTTGTAGTGTAGTGTAAAAGGGCAAGTGTGTGGTTGATGTGTAAAAAGGCTTGTTTGGTGTAATTTTTTATAAAAAAAAAGTGTGGTTGATGTGTAAAAAGGCTTGTTTGGTGTAATTTTTTATAAAAAAAAAATAAAAAATAAAAAGTATACATCGCTTAACTTTCAATTAATTAGTCTATGTAAACTATTTTTACTTCATAAGTTATAATAAAAAACTGTACAAAATGCTCTAACACAAATTTTCCAAACAATAAAACTACAAGCAATTTCAACAAGTTATACTAAACAAGGCCAAAGTGCACATAAGTGCACTACAAACTTCTACCAAATAATTGTTTGTCTTGAGATGACCTACAAGCTCTTTGTTTATCGCAATGAAAGAGAATTTTCATTTTGTTTGCTGCATTTTAATTAGCTTGAAGCATTCATTCCTCTGCTTTAAGATACTTTAGTTTTTTTTGACTTATTTTAGTTATTTTAAAACATAAGTTGTAAGTAAAAGTACAAAGAATTTAATGAAATTCGAAATATAAAATAATACAAATGCTCATCTAAATGGCAACACCACCTTTAAACAAATTTTAGTAACCTCTTTGCTAGGGATAGAACCAGGATTTTATTATCAGAGGGATCAAAATAACAATAATTTTTTTTACCATATACACAAACACACATATATGTATAATATGATATATAAATTGTATATATGCATAGAAAAAAAAATTATATACCATAGAAACATTCTCTAATAGGATGAAGAAGTTTTTTTTTATGCAAAATAAAAAAAGAATGCAAGATGAAAGAAAAATAAGATATATATTTTTTATACTAGGGGCCATTTTATGTATAAAATGGTATATATATTTTTAAGGGAAATTTATTGAAAAATACTTTTTCAAGTGTTTGTATCCCAATTAGTCTATAAGATATTCTTATATTCTAATAAGTCCTATTATTTGGGCATTTGATATACTAAATCCTAATTCCCATAGTATTTTATGGACATTTATACTCTTACAAATATTTTTTGAACGATTAGCAATTTGATTTTTACAATATGAATATTCACATTGATGGTGTGAACATTCACATTACGGAACATTCACATTGTAAATGTTAATATTATTAGGGATATTTTGATAACTATGTCATCCATAGGACTTATTGGAACATAAGAAAATAATGTGGACTAAATGGAACATAAGTAGATGAAAATAGATTTATGAAAAATGGCCCTATTTTTAAAGTATTATGGCAAACAATGTTTTTTACAGAAACATGAGCGTCATGACCCCCTATAATCTTTTCTTAATTTTGTCCCTGTTCTTCGCCACTAGCTTATAAATTGGTTATTTTTTTAACTTTTTCATCTTTAATATAAAAACTTAAAAAGTAAGATTTTTAAATTTATCCAAAAAAAAAAAAAGCTTATAAAATTTGGTTTAACTTTAAGATCATCTCAAAGTTAACCAAAAAATATATATATCATTAAAAATAAAAACAAGTCAACAAAACAACTCAATTTATGAGGTGCGACCAAAAGAACTAAGCAAATTGAAAAGTCAAATAAATATATATTGAAATCGAAAGGATCTTACAAAATTTTGACTGTATATTGCAAGCTTTGTGACCTATATGAGGTACAAGTGACAGCCCATGTGCTACATTTGATTTTATTAATTGTTTAAGTGGGAGAGATAATTGTACTATGGTTTCTTTCCGTCACAAGAGACCAACAACATCTAATCTCCATTAATAGAGATCTAGATTATTTGGAAGGTTCTGTGATGATGGACCAGAGTCCTCCAAATAAGTCAATTAAAAAAAAAAAAAAACTCATAAAAATTGATTTATTTTTGTATTTACTGAACTTTTTTAATTTTTAGAATCGTCTAATCCAAATGAATTTAAAATATTAATAAAAAATCAATAACTAAACTCTTTTAATTATTAAAATTGTCTAATCTAAACAAACATAAAATATTAATACTTTGACTGAAAGTTGAAAAAAAAAATTACTAAAAAAAAACTTTAAAATACCTCAATTTATAAATTGTAGCCAAAGGAGTTGTTGCCTAGCTAATGGAAAAGTCAAACATATACCGAGCTCGTTTGGAATGTGAGTTGATTTTTTGATATTTTAATTTTGACTATTTTAATTTATGACTAAAAAATTTCGTTTGAGATAGATTTTTTGACTTATTTTATTTTTATAAAAAAAAAATAAAATAAGTATAAATTAGATGTGATATTTTATCGTACTTGATTAAAATAACTTAATTTATCCTATATAATTATTTTAGCCCAAAGTGTCATCATCCCAAATGGGGCCACATATATTTTGAAGAGTGCTTTTATTTTGGGGGAAATAACAATAACAATGCAATATAATTGTAATATAAGCCTTAGCCCTGGCCGCCACCACCAATTCCACCTCTGGTTGCCACTACTCCTTAACTCTATCGCACCAGCCCCACCTCCTCCTTGCCCACTAACCCCTCCCACTTCCCTATGCACCACTCCAACTTTCCTCCCCTCCCATGTGCACCACTGTGACAGTGACACCCCTCACCTCCCTACGCACCATCACAATACTCATCTTTTCTCTCTCTCTCTCTCAAGATGGTTAGAGGGCTAAGGTGGCGGCATAAGGAGGGAAGGAACTGCGGTTTCTAGAAAAGGGTGGCAAAATAGGGAAGGAAGGAGGTGGTGGCCATTTGGGGAGGATGGTGGGTGTTGGTTGAGGTGGGATAAAGTTAGGGTTTGATAGATTAAGATAAGAATAAAATTAAAATTTTATGATATAAGGAAATTGTAATTAAAAAAAAAAATAAAGGAGTGATAAATGAGATGCTATTAGCTGCACTAATTTTCATCCGATAACTCTTTCTTACAAACTTTTGATTGTATATTACAAGCTTTGTGCCCTTTATGAGCTACAAGTGACATACCATTTGCCACTTTTGATTTTAACAAGTCTAATAATTGAAGATTTTGATTTCAGGTTAAGTGGGTCAAAATGTTGTACCATGATTTCTCATCCTTCACTAGAGACCAAGAACATCTAATCTCCATTAATGGAGGACTTGATTATTTGGAAGGTTTTGTGGTGGTGAATCAGAACCCTCCAAATAACTTGAGATCATCTTTTTTCTCACCATCTGATCAACTGAAAATAAATTTTCTAGTAGGCAAACATGGTGTTATCTACTGCTTAGAAGTCATCAGGTATTATGATGATCTCACCATTGATATTGTCGAAAAGGTACATCATTTTTTCCTAGTCTTACTTTAATGTTATGTTTGGATTATAGATTTATACATAAATTTGTAGAAGAGGGAGAAAAAAAAAATGAAGTGAAAGATGTTTAAGGGTTAGTTTGGTAATTTTTTTGTTTTCTATTTCTGTTTTTGTTTTCAAATATTTTGGAAACTGAAAATGAAAATACACTTGTGAATTGTTGTTGTTTCCAAAAAATTATAATAGTTTTAAAATTTGAGGAATAAAATAGGTACTTATGATGATCTTCACTTTCATAAAAGCCTAAAGTTATAATTGGATCATTGATTTACAAAATAATTAAAAAGAGAAGGGGAAAAGGTAAGAAGAAAATGAAGTAAAAGAAGTAAAAGGGAAAATTTGGTAATTTAATTGTTTTTGTTTTCAAAATTCTAAAAATTGAAACCAAACATACATTTGTGAACCATTTTTATTTCTAAAAATTACAACAGTTTTCAAATTTTTAAAATTTGAAGAATAAAAGAGGTACTTGTGATCATCATCATTTTGTTCATAGTCTTGAGCCCATGTTTGGATGAAGAATTTATGGAAAGATTAGTTATTAGTGAAGTGAAAGAGAAAGTAAATGGACAAGCTAAGAAGAAAATGAAATGGAAGAATTCAAGTTTGGGCATATTTGGTAATATTTTTATTTATTTATTTTGTTTTTATTACAAAATTTGTGGAAAAAAAAAAGTTTGTAAACCGTTTTCATTTAAAAAAATATGACAACAGTTTTTAAAATTCAAAGATTTAAAAAAGAAAAAAATTTCAAAACAAGTTTTCATAACCTTCCCACCCCTATGCACCCTCCAACTAATACCAAATATGTTTTTAAATGTTTTGGAAAAGAAAATACTACACATACTAACAAATCTTACAAACTGATGTGTCATACAAGAATAAAACTTTAGAAATCAAAATTGAATTTATTTCAACAATATAATAAGTTTTCACGTTAATAAATAAATAAATAAAAATTGTGAGATTCTTTAGTTTCTAAAGCACTACTTTTTTTGAAAATATATATGCACCAATTGTGTTTTTTGTTTTTAATTTTTTTTTTTTAATAAAAGAAAAGAAAAACCATGTTTCTTAGGGTTTGTTTGGTAACGTTTATGTTTTCAGTTTATATTTACAAAAATTTTATAAACTAGTTTTTGTTTATTTTTTGTTAATTTTTAGAAAAACAGGCTAGTGTTGGGTGGTAAAAAAAAAAACTGAAAACTCAAAACGGAAATACATTTTTTTGGCTAAATTTATAAACTGAGACCATTGATTTATAAATTAAAAATTTTACCAAACAAGTTTTTATTTGAGTTTTTAAAATTTTTGTAAATATAAACAGAAAACTGAAAACGTAAGTGTTACCAAACGACACCTTATTTTTTGTTGATAAAACAGAATACAAGAAACTGAAAGCCTTACCGAATGTACCTTGCATTGATAAATCCATAATTGAAACATAGCATACATTTACATATTTCAAACATCATAAGAAGTTACATAACAGTAATATATATGATCATAATTTTCATTATAGGAACTGCCATTGTTGCTGAAAGGGTTGAACTATCTTCCTGGTTTCATCTTCAAGAAAGACAAATCGTTCGTAGAGTTTCTCAACAGAGTGAGAATTGGAGAGATGGAGCTTGAAGAAATGGGACTGCACGATGTTCCTCATCCATGGCTAAATCTCTTTGTTCCAAAATCAACTATCATGGATTTCAATGCTGGTGTTTTTCTTGAGATTCTTAAAAAACAAAACAACAACACAGGGCCTATTCTTGTCTACCCGATGAACCGAAGCAAGTAATTATTCTTATTCTTCTCCTTGTTTAAGAAAATGAGAAAAAGATTTGTGCTCTATTTGTTTTGGCCAAAAATATTTTTTTGAGAAAGCGTTTCTTGTATATTTGATTTCCACCTTGAAAATGATGGTGTTAGTGATTTTGGTAGTGTGGTGGTGGTATTGGAAAGCTAGTGGTGGTCATGGTTGTAGGATGGTGGTAGGGGGTGGCGATGACTCCATTTGTTTCAACGAAGAAAATTATTTTTGTATAAAAAAATGTTAATTACTATAGAAAATGCTTTCATGTATTTAGTTGTAACAGCCACTCCAGACTATGTATTTTTGAATATTTATGAAAGTGCAAATATTTTGACTCTAGCCCATTTAGAATCTATATAATTCTACCTTTTGCTACCTAAAATTCTAAAAAATTTCGTTATTTTTATGCAGCTTTCAGTAATTATAAAATTAATTGGTACTTTGGCCACCCCAAACATTTGAAAATCTCATTACTTTCATGTAATTTTGAGTATATGAAATAAATTAGTATTTTGTTTGCCAAAATTTATATAATTTTACTTCAGTTCTTCTAAAATTTAAATTATTCTACTTTAGTCTCCCTGCACAATTTTTGAGTTGCTAATAGTGGGGGAAGGGGGTTTCGGCAACTGTAATTGTAACAGAGGGCAGTGGTGGCGGTGGTGATGGTAGTAATAGTATGTGGTGGTGATTGTGGTGATAATGGTAATACAGTTATAAAGACTTTAGTCTGTCTTATGTGGTTCAAAAAATAATTTTCACCTTCAAAAAAAAAAAAATTTATTTTCCGATCAAATTAATCAATGTGCTTTCATTTTTCATTGTACCAAATAGAAGAGGTAGCAAATATGTTTTACCAAAATCAAAGAACTGCATTAATTATTATTAATGTGATATAAAACCATGTGTTAATTACACTGAAATTGCAGGTGGGATGATAGGATGTCTGCAGTCATACCAGATGAAGACACATTCTACACCGTTGGATTGTTGTTTTCAAGTGGTGAAGATGATTGGGAGGTCTTTGAAGATCTAAATAAAGAAGTACTAAATTTTTGTGACAAAGCTGGGATTAAAGCTAAGCAATATTTTCCTCATTACAGTACCAAAGAAGAGTGGATGAATCCTTTTGGTTCAAAATGGGATACTTTTCAAGAGAGAAAAGCTCAGTTTGATCCCAAGATGATTCTATCTCCTGGGCAAAGAATTTTCAACAATTCTGTTTAAGGATAGACTCATATGTTTCTAATAGTTGTATGTTCTGATGCGCTGTGTGGTTGATGAAAAAATAATTTGTCTTATTATTGTAAGATAGTTTGTCTTATTGTACTATATGGTTGTAATATTGTATTATGGCTTGTAATTGTTTATTCAATTTTAATAGAAAGCTCTAATAGAGCTGCTCTAAAAGCAATTCTAGTGAGCTGGCAACCAAAAAAAATAGAGAAAAAAAAAAAAAGGTAAAAGACAAAATATAAAGAGGTATGTACGGGGAGGAAATAATTCTCCTCGTATAATCCTGTTGACCAAGTCCACGCTCCTCCGTACGACGTCGCTTTGTCACCTGAAAACACAAACGTGAGCTAGCCGGCGGGTGTGTGCCGGAAACCTCTCCGATGCCTAAGTCAGAAAACTTGACAAATAGACAAAGCTCTAAGTTCTCAAAAAGATTGTGTTCAATTACCTCCTCCAAGGGTCAGAAAACTTGACAAATAGACAAAGCTCTAAGTTCTCAAAAAGGTTGTGTTCAATTACCTCCTCCAAGGTGATGCTTGTGAGCTTTTATAAGTTTCATATGGCACAATCCTAGTAGGACTTGTATTTCTCCATGCAGAGTCCTCCTAGGATTCATACTCTTAAGGATAATGCTTATCCTTTCACACCCTCCCCCACTGCTTAAACCAAGTGGGATGGTTCTCTTTATGGCCGAACTTCCATTTGACCGAAGTAAAAATGGCTATGCCGAGCCACAAAGTAGGCCGTACTAACAGTTGTTCGGTTCTTCTTCACGCTATCATATCTCAGTTCTCTCATACATGAACCGTGGTATGTCCGGACCGAACCAACGACTCGACCGGCATAACTCTCAAACCGGTATATCTCTAAGGCCGGTCTAACTTCAAGACCGGTCTAACTTCAAGTTGCTCCCCAAACCGAAGTACTTTACAATCCTCTAACCGAAGTAACTCTGTTACTTCGTAAGCCGAAGTAATTCCACCTCCTTGGGCCAGAGTAACTCTGTCTCTCCTAGGCCGGAGTAACCTTGCTCTCCTGGGCCGGAGTAACCATTACGGCCTTTTTTACTTAGTCCTTCGCGTTTTCGGGAATTAAAGCCCAACTCGCAGCTCGGCCCAATTTTTCCCAAAAATTACCCTCTCAAGGTAAAAGACAAATTAATACTCATTTAGAGCTCCTCTTTTAGATGTCTCAACCATTTTTCTTGTTTATTATTGAGTTTGTATCATTATTGTACTATCCCCCAAAGATCTCCTCCTTATAAGTGGGCATTTAATAAACTTTTTATTTATTGTGTGCTTAACAATCTTCACTTTGTGATTGTAGTTACTCTATAGTTGTCTGATTTTTTTTTCTTTTTTCTTTTTTTAAATTATATTGTTTTAAAATGTGATTTTTCTTTTAGGTTTTAGTATTTGTTTAACAATTGTTCTAGTGCGTATAACTCTATCCCACAACAGGTGTGCCCCATGTGAGAACCGGACACAACCTTGTTAACAAAACTGTTGGTTAATTATACAATCAAATTCCATTTAAAAAAAACAAAAAAACAAAAAGTTCTATTTCATTTTGAATATTATTATTGAGTTCTATCAAGTTTATGGACAATTAAGTCTTATTTTTATAAATTGTTGGTTCATTTATTCATAAATCCTTCTTCACTTACTTTTATTTCACTTAGCCTCAATTATTTTATTATATTTCAATAAATCTTATGAGTGATATATCCCTAATAATAATAGGGTAAAGTGCACATTAATATTCACATTGATAGTGTCAATGTTCCGTGATGTGAACATTCACACTATCAAATATGAATGTTCACATCACCACATTGACAAGGGTTCAAAAAATATTTATAAGAGTAAAATTGTCCATAAAATAACATAAATATGAAAATTAAAATTTAGTGAATCAAATGTCCAAATAATAGGACTTTTTATAATATAAAAATATATTATGCACTAATTGTGATACAATTAATTAAAAAATAATTTCCTAATAAACTTTTTAAAAACACACTTACATGTTACTAGTTGGGCTAAGCTCATAGGCCCACCCATCAACAAAGTCCGTTGGGCAAGGCTTGTGCCTAAGATTTTGACCCACGAGCTAACCAAGCCCAAGCCTGCCAGTAAAATATACGAGACTGATATCAACCTTAATTCATTGCTGCCTTAAAATTGGACGTACCAAAAAAAATTTGCGAAGGCATGTCAAGCATATTGCAATCTGTTAAGGCTGAGAGTGCTGAGGTTGGATTAGACTATTTTATCCAGAAATAAAATTATCTAGTTTTTTATTCAGATAATGTGAAAATAGTACATTTTCGCTTGCTTATTCGTTCGATTAATTTCATATATTTGTATATATATATAACAACATGCATATACTGTTACATAAATATATAAGTTGAAAATATTTAATTCACAATCAGGCCCGGCCTTGAGGGCAGGCAAGAGAGGCCTGCGCCGCCTTGGGTCCCTGAATTTGGGCTAAAAATAAGGGTCTCCAAATATAATTTTGTGTTTTAGATATAAAAAAATAAAAAAAAAAACCAAACACTATGGGCCCAATTGAACATGAGGCTCAAAAAAACACAACAAGAATAGATTTTTATTTTTTTAGAGTATTTGTAATGATTGCTTCCAATCTTAATATATGAAAGTAAATTTTTATTTATAATTTTAATGATTATATCTGCAAATAAATTTTTTTGTGATGACAAACAAATAAAAAAGTTGTAACTTATCGTTTTATCTATGAATTTTTTTTTTCAATGTAAGAGGGCCCCATTTCTGAAGTGTCGTCTTGGGTCCCCTAAATCTTAGGACCAGCTTCGTTCACAACCCCAAAACAAACTTGTTAACACAATCAAATGAAAAATAGCAAAGCACAACTACAAATAAATTGCCTAAATTAACAAAGAAAGCACAATAGCAATAGTACAATAAAGCACAACTACTGATTTATCAAACCAATGTTTCCCTTGTAAGAGGAGCTATTTTGAGCCCACTAAATTAATTAGGCCCAATAGTCCAAGGTTGGTGGGCCCGAATTTATCACAAGTCCAAGATTGGTGGATCCGGATTTGTCGCCGTCAAACGGGCCGAAGTACTCTAAGCCTCGAAAGGGTTCGAATCCACAAACTTAGAGACTTACTCGGGCCTGGACTCAAAAGGGTTCGGATCCACGAACCTAGAGATTCGAAGCACTTGGCTTTGAACGGATTCAGACGCAATCCAAGAGTCGCTCCATTAATAAGTCCCAGAATACTTACGGACTCGGAGCTTTCCGGGATCTACGTATCGAAACCATAGGCGTAATGGAGTCCGAACAAAGGACCCGATCCGAAGGACGGTAAATGGAAATAAATTCACTCTTCAATTAAACTAACCTATATCTGGGTTGAGATGGCACAATCTAGGGGGTCCCTGAGACTCGACAGTATTTGTGGCATGGCGTTCTCTTGAACTATCCTTGACCCTTCCGCGACAGGGCGTCCTCTAGGACTACTCCTAAACCCCTTGGGATGATTGGGGATCATTGGTTAGGTGTGGCTAAGAAGAAGGGTTCGTCGAGAGGTTGATCTCCTCTTCAAGGTTTTCCTCATCCTCGGAGAGGTCACCTCTTCGGACAAGGTGGTTAGAGAGAATATTCCCCATGTACCTTGCATATGGGCTCCATCCTACAACATGAGGTGCCTATAAATAGAACCCAACCATAGCTTTACAAGGGATGGATTTTGGAGAGATAACCCTTGGGAAAGAACTAATTTCCCTACTCCATCATTAACCTTGAGAGTGAAAGTGGGAGATCCATAGGAGAGCCTTGCCATTATTCTTTCTTTACCTACTTTGCCTTCTTCTTCACCAAATCTCTTATCTCCATCATCGATTTGCTTTTGTGTTCTTAGTAGTGACTATTGAAGAATCTAAGCCTCATCATTTTCTAGAGAATTCAAAATTTTCTTCAAAGATCTTCGAAGATCTTCGAATTTTCTAACAACGTTCTTGAACCCTCTCATACATTTGGTGACTTCACTGGAGAGGCGGATTGGTTAATGGTCTCAACAAGATCCGGAATCTACATAACTCCGATGAAGATGGCGGGAGAAGAAGAAGTTCATCAACAAACCTCTTCTAATGGTGGTGATGAAAGGACTCAAGTTCAAGACTCACCTCTCATCCTATAAGCCATTCAAGGACTTCAACACACTCAACAAGAGATTCTCACGACCCTTCAAAATCTCATCCACACCATGTTGGTGATGGATTCAAATTCGTACCACCAGCAACAAATGAAGGTCAAATCGGCGCTGACAAGCATCAACAACTTCATAGTAATGTTGGGAATGGTCAAAACCATCAAAATCCACTCCAAATTCTCCTTGAAGTTGTACAAAATGGTGTGCAAAATCAAGTACTAGGAGGAACAAGGCATGACCAACTTGCAGCCCATGGAGCGCAAAATCACACCCCTAGAGGATCGAGCCATGGTCCAACGGTGGTTGGAGGAGTTTCTGGCGCGATGAATGGTGTTCCAATGGCTGTGGAAGTTCAAGGAAAGCCTACAGAAATTCCTCTACAAAATGGTGCTCCATCCATGCCTAATTTTGTTCCACCGATTGTAAATTCTACTCATGTACCGAGTGGGTCTCCTTTGGCTTCGACGCCAAGTTTGTAAGTCCAACCCAGTGTAGCCGTGGCGTGCAATGAACTTTATGGGACCCAATGTAACGTCCCATTACCAAATGGCATGTCCATAGGTCCCGATGGCCAATATCGTCATGTGTTTTCACTGATGATGAATTCTCAACACCAGAGTAACCAAGTTGCTCCTAGTTCAGTCTTGGGGTCCATAAGCCAAGTTCCAAGAATGCCACCATCAAACTCTCTCCCTCAATAGTTTCTCACTCTCACCGATGTGCAAGCCATGTTCGATCTCGAACAAGGCAAGAGGACTTTACCCTCTTTGCCTGATTCGGATGTCAAGCAGCCTTATCTTATCGAGATGTTGAGTTATCCATACCCAGAGGGGTAAACGGTGCGGAAGTTCATCAAATTCGATGGCAAGCAAGGAAGTGCTCGAGAACATGTTATGCGGTTCATCGAGACTTTGAGGATTCATGGTTCAAATCATGTTCTCCGACTGAGAGAATTCTCCAAGTGCCATACCAACTGAGCATATAGTTGGTATATTAACTAGACCCCAAACTCTGTTCGAAGTTGGGAGGAGATGGTCACAAATTCCATGCCAAATTCTTTCAAACGGCTGAGAAGGTAACCGCACTCACCCTATGTAAGGAAAAGCAACGACAGGGTGAAAACATTCTCGAATATATGAAGATAGGTTCCAAGACAAAGCCGTGGACTGTCATGAGGTTGTGGAGGAAAGCTACTTGGTCCAAATCTGTTTTGAAGGGGTATTGAATGGGTACAAGATGCTTCTTGTTAATCACAAGCTACCCACATTCTCGGCACTAATTGAAACATCTCGGAACATCAACGTACCTCAATCTCAGGAGATTGGGTTTGAGACTAGTTATAAAACCAGCATTAAGTCATCCCGAGGACCTTCCGTCACTGCGGCTATAGCGATTCCAAGTTTGCCCCGGCCTTCATTGTGTTCTAGACTCGGTATCCGTGATTGAATATCATATCCATGTCTTGTTTTTCCCCTTTGACCCTTGGTATTTGAGTTTTACAACTTGTTGGGCAAGTTTAGAATAGGTTGGTTAGTTGGGTTAGATTGTTGTTGCCCAGATTTTGGTCCCTTCGCTCGAGCGAGGTTTCTTGCGCTCGAGCGAGCTTTTTGTAATTTGCTTCTTCGCTCGAGTGAGATTTCTTGTGCTCGAGCGAGAATTGGGAGTCCTTAAGTTTCTTTCCTAGACGCAGAATTTCTGGGAAGATGAAGTTCTTCGCTCGAGCGAGACTTCTTGCACTCGAGCGAGCCTTGTGTTATTTGTTCCTTCGCTCGAGCGAAGGTGTGCGTCTGTGTAAGACCTGAAGGTTTGTATTCTACGCTCGAGCAAGGCTTCTTGCGCTCGAGCGAGGTCACTTGTTGTGTCTAGTCACTCGAGCGACAACTCTTTCACTCGAGCGAAGACCACGTATATCAGTTCACAGCAGAGGAGTTTTACATCACTTTTTGAATCTCTTTTTGCTAAAAACCCTAGATCGGTTGTCTCTCTCTCTAAAAATCCACATTCTCTCTACAAATCCCTTAGAATCTAAGAGTTTTTACTCTACTTCCTGTGAGAAAAATGTAGAGCAACTCGTGGGCTTCCAATCCATCCGAGTA